TATTCTCTTGGCTACGTGTGCCCTAACATTCTCTTGAGCCTTCGGTCTTATTTGACTGCTGAGCACACGTGAGCCTTCATCCTTGCCCTTCCTTCTGGCTTGTTGCACATTCACCTCAACTTTCGTCAACAGCGGATTTTAGCTGTAGCTCAGCCCCTCTGTGGGCCACAAATACAAGGAGCAAGTCAGCCCAACTCGTCTTCGGCTCAGCTCTGCCTACCCCCATTGAAGCCCAACTCAAAGCGCCTCCTGTTATTTAGCCCCCTCTCCCCCAGCCCATTTCTGGATCCGCCCCTGACCTTCGTCTTTGGGGACCTTCGCTAGGAGCTACATAGCGTGAGAGGGGTTAAGGGGGGCGAAGTAGAAGAGAAGAGGGGTGGCGCCCAAAGGTAAGACCCCCAACAGCAGCCCCTCTGGGGCTCGGCGCCAACTCCAGTGGGATGAAATGCCGATTCTGGAAGGGGAGAGAGGCGTAGCACCTTTGTTATGTCTTGTCCGCCAGAGTTGCCTTTTCGTGTAGTGGATTAGATGTTTTGTCTGCTTCGATTTTTGGGAAGTTGAGTTGTTGAAAGGAAAGTGTAACGCGTGTGTTTCAGGCTATTTGTTTGCTTCGCACTGTTTTCTCGAGATACGGGTGGGATACGTGTGCGGATGGGGGCACGAGTGTGGATTCTTCAGGATTCATGTTGGATGCCCATCGACTTCCACCCCCTATATTACACAAGATGAAATAGAGAGGTCACTGAACTCAAGAAGAGCTGAGATTGTACACCCCAATAGTAGAAAGTCAGAGAACATTACAAGAGTAGAGCAAAAGCCCTCAGTCATCACATAGCAAGGCAAGATCATGATCATTTCGCAGAAAGGCAGCCAAACTGATTTTTGATAGAAGCTCTCCCCTTGCCGAGGAACTACAGGAGCACCCGTTGTCAAACAACTACAAGCTAAAAATACCAAATTTTGATGTGCAAACCTACCCTCGAGAATTCATAGTAAGATTTGAAATATCCATCATCTTAGTAGGCAGCGACACAACAGCTCTAGCTTCGTCATGGTAGTCGATGGCATCACTCATGACCGGTACATCTCTCTCTAGTTGCAATCTATGATATCTATCCACTCTTAGGATCAAATCTAGGGAGAATTGTTGGCAACTTTCTAGGGCTTACAAGTGGAGAACAAGATGGCTCGAGACCTCATGACTGCATGCAACTAGATGAGCCCCTTAAGAAATATCTTCGAAGATTTATCCAAGTAAAATCCTAAACTCCCAACATACCAGACAACAGTCATGGTAACAACAATCAAAGGGCTTGGAATGGGACAGTTTGCATCACATTTCGCATGAAATCTGCCGCTTTTCTGTGAATAAGTTATTCGTAGTCATGAATGAGTATGAAAAGTCAAATGTTGATTATCGCAAAAGATGCAAAGCACTTATCAAGAAAACAAATAATAGCGCCCACAACCACCACAACAGCAACACAAGCAAAGAAATGCCCGATCAAGTTTTGCTTGTGTTGTTGTTGATCGGCCACAATGAAATGAAACATTATCGGCAAAAATCAAGAACACCAAGCACCCAATAATGTTCCATTTCATGGTGGCCGAGAGGGCCTCAACATCTGAGGCGGAAGCAGGCAAGATCGAGGACCTCCATGCTGCTACATATGCAGCGAAAACACAGGTTATTTCTCACAAGAATGCAAGTTCTAAAAAATGGCCAAAAAAGCTTAAGGAGAGTGAAGAAGCCTCAAATACAGAAGAAACATCGAAGAATGTTTAGCACCTTTCCACCCAAAAGCAAGAGCCCACTTTACTCTAGCTTATTGCTCCGTTTTCTCTCTTGGATCAATAGTAATGCACCCAGCTACATGGCAATGAATTATGCAAACATAAAAGTCAGTGGCTGCCCAACTTTCAGTCTGCACCCTGCAGTACCTCGCACCACCTCTCTACAACACTACACAAGCCGCATCTATCTTCGGCCCCACACCAGAGCAGCAATTCTTAAGTCAACCCCAACAACAGTTGATTCCAAAAGTAGAAAACCAACATGAAGCAGCTCAAGTGAATGGTATCCTTATGACCTTGTCTAGGTCACTAAACAAAAAGGAAAAAAACCCACAAAGATTATGACCGAAGAGTATTCACGATTTCACCTAGACTCCGGTTGAATAGACCAACTTCGTCAATGGTTCCAGTAACTTTCACCGAGGAGGACAATTTCGAAGCCCGAGATAACCTTCATATTGATGCTTTCATCACTGAAGCAAACGTAGTTGGATACACCTCGCATAACATACTCGCCAACACCGGTAGTTAGCCCCAATATAATGTTCATCAAGCCAATTAATACATGAACAAAAGGACGCTAGAACAGTAATAAAAGGATATCCATGTTTCCTTTTTGAACAGTAATAAAGTCTGAACAGAGATCATCACCTTTGATATCGTTAATATTGAATACACATACAACTATATTTGATAGAGGGTTCACAAACAAATTTGACACTAAAATCAAGCAAAGCTTCTATGGATGAAAGTCCCCTCCCCTTACGGATTCATTACAATATTTGGCAATCAGCTAGAAGCCCAAAAGATAGAAGGTAAACCAATTCCATTTGAGCCTTATCAACCAAGTTAAAAGCAACGAAAACCTTCCAAAGACAAGGAAGAGGAATGCAAGTAAAGAGCAGAATCACAAGAGTAGATGACACAATGCACGCTAGACAAAATGATACCAGATCACGCCGTGTAACCCTCACAGCCAAGATAGCTCATGAAACAAAGAGTAAACTGATGTATTTTCTTAGTAGCAAACAAGGATGTTTTTTGCTTGATCGACAAAAGATCTATATGGGGTTAGTAGAGACATTATACAACACGAGATCAATATCAAACCAAACACCAAGCCTAGAAAGTAGCGTTTGAGAAACATTTCAGAAGAAAGAGCCCAAGCAGTAAAATCCGAAGTGTAATTCCTTTTGCACGTGAAGGTCATCAGACCTGTACTTCGGCTGGATGCCAATTTAGTCATGGTCAAGAAAAAAGAAAGAAATTGAATAATGTATATGAATTTCACTAATCTGAACAAATATTACCCAAAGGATGATTTATCGTTACATAGAATGGACACTCTGATTGAATTAACGGCCAGGTGCAAGATGCTAAGCTTATTCAATTTTTTCTCGGATATCATCCAACTTGGATGGCACCCAAGGATGAAAAAAACTAGCTTTACCACCCCATGGTCACCTAATGTTTCATCCAAATGGCAGAGGGTCTCCGACTTGTATGGACAATTTTTTTAAGATTGACTAGGGAAAATCTTCAAATCCTGGCTACTTTGATGGTATTATCGTCAAAATTAGAAAAGAAGATCTATCAAACGCCTATAGGACTAAGGGCATCTTCACTGGATCTCTTATATTACAAGTTGAGAGGCGCAGTATTTCGATGTGAAATATCGAAATTTGTCGCTTGTAAGTTGTACGCTGCACCCCTACGCTGCCTTGTCTTCTTCCATCAGACCATCACTCTGTTACCCGACTACACGATATCAACTACGAAGTATATTGATAGAGTATGTGGATCAAGGTCTCGAGCTCCGGCTACTTGCCGCGCTCGCCGCCGCCGGCGCCGCCGATAGGCACGGTTCAGAGAGTAACCAAGTTCGAGCTCTCCGCCCCTTCTCTCAACGGTACAAGAAGGAGCTGTTTGGGCTGCCTTCCGTTCTGGGCCATGCAGGGTCCATGATTCAGTTAGGAAACCCACTCCGGCCCAACTAGCCTAGCATTCGTCCTTGAGTGCCTGGAAAGCCCTCTGCGCCTAACTGTCGAAGCTCCATCTCCTTCAGGTGTCTCGGTGTCGTTTTCAGGTTCAGGAACTGCTTCACCTTCGTCAGGAGCAGTCGCCGTGGGTCTTCTGCGGTGACACACCCCAACTCCCCAAGCGTGCGCCGCTGCGAGCAACCCCCACCCACCGACGACTGGGCCGGCCGTTGCTGCCGCCCTACTTTGCCACCTTCGCTGGCGACGAGCACCACCAGGTATGCCCTCCCCTTGGTCTTCCCTTCCTGCTGTGCGAAACCGTGCGCCCAAACCCTAAATACTATTCGTATTCGCATCGAATCTAATTACAAGTGTATGTGCATGTATTATGCCTGCTTTGCAAAAATTATCGGCTGTACATGTGTACACCCATGTCCTTTACTGGGTCCGCCCCTGGATTGCAGGATCCAACTGTATCAGCTCAAGATCAGTATTTCTTAGATGAGTAAGCTTACAAACATGTTCTCGGCTCTGTGTCTGGATGCTGAAGATGACCGAGTTGAAGTACCACAGGCGTCTTCCAGCACAGACGAAACTGCTGCAAGCAAACTTGGTTGGTGCTCCTTTAGCCCTTCCCTCTTGAATGGAACTTGTGGATAACATGAATCATGATATTAAGTCTCCTTTCTTTGTTCTCCATGGGGAATTGCATTTCTAGTTCATGTATATCCCTGCAAGTCTAAGTGGCTACACCCTATTTGGTGGTTTAGATGAGTCTACAAGGACAATTAAATTGATGAGAAAATAGTACCCACCAGATGTTTGCCAATGGCATGATGATTGTTTACTCAATGTCTTGGTAATATACAGCAATTTGCCAAGGTTCTTGAGCCCTTCTTGTCTTTCACCTGTTTTTTTTCAGAAACAGAAAGGACTGGTCACTAGCAGGTCTGTACTCAGGAATTTAGTGATCCAGTGCTAAAAGCAAATTGGGCCCTGCATTTGAGGAAATGCTGATACCAAATTTTTTGTGCTATCATTATTGGCAAACCTGTTTTTACCTAAAGTTTTGAATTAGATTGTTGTTGTAACAGAGCAGCAATAATATATTTTTGGTAGGGGAACCTTGTTTTGTATTTTTGACTGCACGTATTATGTGTCATTGTTTATGACCACATGCTGACTGTAGTTGTTCCAATTTGGTTGAAAATTTCATTCCATTTCCAGATAAAAATGAGCAGAATGACACAACTGCAGTAAACTATGAGGCAGCACTTGTATCATCATCTGGTGATTACAGGATGCCTTTGGTATGGATAGACTTGGAAATGACCGGTGAGTCGAGTTCTGTTTCGGTGGTGCATTGCCATTTACTTGTTTGTTCAGTTTTCATAATATAATTTTAAATTACATAATGAGTCATGTGTATAATGTTTGAATTTTGAAGACATCATTTATGTTCTGGAATAACTTTTAACAGCTCATGTATAGCATAGCATGGGGTTTTCTAGATTTTTTTTTTCAAAGAATTTGCCAATACTTTTCAGAACATATAAATTGTGGTGTCATTCATAGTTTCTTATGATGTACTTTTGCATAGTGGATATGACCTGACATAGATTTCTATTGCACAACTGGACACATTGCAGACCATGAGGGATCCAATCTTACATTTCTTGAGAAAACTTTTTGTGTTGTCCTGACACAAGAAAATGTACTTCAAGTGCAAGAAAAATTGGAATATTTCATAATGACTTACTTCCGTCAATATGTTGATGCAGAAAAGTGGTGTTGCAGCTTGAAAATAATTATTTTGTTATATTTTCCCAGATTGTTCTGTGGATAGATCGTCAACTAAAAATTAGTTATTTTGCCATCTTTTGTATTCAGCCAGCCTTTATTGTTTAATGTAAGCATGCACTTCCTCAACTTTGTAGGTTTGGATATTACAAAAGATCGGATTTTGGAGATTGCTTGTGTCATAACGGATGGTAAACTTACAAAACAAATTGAGGTTGTCGTTGAAACAAAATACTTTTGTTGGTTTGTTCTATTTAGCTTTTATACAATGTGATGATGTTGCTCAATCACTTCAACTTTTTCTATAAAACATCCAGATCAGTCTTTGGGGTACTGAGATTTTTGTTTGACTATTAAATAGAAAGATAATGGCATGTTACTCTCTCTTCCCCTAATTAGCTCTGTTTGTTAAAACTATGTTGTTGTGGCGTGCATATAATGGGAGAGAAAGTCCATCCCTCAATCACAGGACAATCCTCCTGAAATCCATTACATGACTTCCTTTGTAAGTGGCCTTAGAGAGGACATTAAACATTTGGTGCTGGCCGAACATCCAACTGATCTCCTGGATGCTTTTGAGCAAGTATATTTATTCAAAATTGAGGGAGCAGTGATTTCAACTATAATATGTTTATGGATTTGACCCCAGCTTGCACACCACATTATGGTATAGGTTTCATTTTGGTTAGTTCCATCATCATTTTCGTGGTAAATATGGCTAAATTCGAATGCCAGGTGACTGCTAACTAGATTATGTTTATTGACACATTATCCCATTGTTAACTGGCGATGACCCATGTGGGATAGAGACTTCAAATGCTTTAATACAGTGCCCATGCCAATGCTCCCTTAATGATGATATCATTAAGGAAAGAAATTGTTCATTATTTGTAGTTCGCTAGTCATGTCAATGCCTCATACATGTTGTCAGCACCATGTATAAATTGAATTATTTAACATGATTGGCTTGCTATTTTGCAGGGTCCTGACTTGGTTATAAGCCAGAGCAAAGATTGTTTAGATAATATGGGTGAATGGTGCAAAACTCATCATGCAGCTAGTGGTAAATACTACTCTTTTCTAAAAAAAAAAGAAATTTTCTGTTTTATTTTTATGTCTGAACATAATTCCAAGAGCCCTGATTTCTAATTTAGGTTTGACAGAAAGAGTACTGCAGAGTGAACTTTCTGAACATGACGCAGAGGCAAAAGTATGTTTTTCTGTTTGTGGTGAACATGTTTTCCCCCCTGGTAATTTTGTTTGTAGACATAACTGAAGTTACAGCACTCGAGTATGTTGCCACGGATATTTTTAAGAATGTCTCCACTAATTTCATAGGACTATTTTTTTTTCTGTTTTGCTGTCTCGACTCTCGAGTAACCCATCCACAATACTCTAGTAATCTAGTTTAATTTGGCACCTTTGTTTGAAACCTATGCCATTTGAATATTCTGAAAGGTTTCAGACATGTCACACATTTTACAATGACTATGTTCAGTGGTTAACTCAATCCACACCACCTTACTGTCTAAGCATCTTTTAACTGTTCACCTGAATCGCTATAGTTCTTGAATTTGGTTGTGTTACGTATGGTTTTCAAAACCTCGATTCAGTCATATGACTTAGCAGCTTCACCATCTGGATAAGGGGTTTGATCCTCCAATTCTAGTCAGTGGAATCTATATTTGTTTCTATGATATTCATATTTAAGATTCTCTATGATAGCAATCTTATGAAGAGCTCCCATCCAATTTAGGATCGTGATTTTGAGAAAATAAGTGTCGGTGCGAAAAGTGACCAACAAGTAAATATTTGTTGTTTTGCTGTACGTTGTGATCGGATGTGGCCTACCACTCAATGACACAGGGTTTATACTGGTTCAGGCAACGTGCCCGACGTCCAGTTTGAGTCGGTCGGTGACTTTATTCCTGAGCCCAGGTGCTCGAAGTTTGCTGTGGGGTTACAAACGAGTGGGAATAAGATGGGGGGTGTTAGAGGTCCGGTCGGGCTCTAGACCGAAGGGCCGAGAGTGACGGGAGCTCCTACGTGTGCTAAGTTTTGGAACGTATGCTCTGTGTAGTTTTTAGAGTTCTAGAGCCGTGAAGCTGTTCGAGTGCTCAGAACGTCTAAAGCTAGCAGAGAGAGTCGGAATGATCTGTCCTTTGTTGGGAGAGGGCGCATCCCCTTTTATAGATGAAGGGGGGCGGCCTTACAAGTTCAAGAGAGAGAGAGAGAGAGAGAGAGAGTGCCCTAGTCTTGTTGCCTACACCGTCGGGAACAAGACAGTTTGTCAGCGCCCACAATACTGTTGACGTCCAGATGCATATGATAGGCTCCATCGTGTTCTTCTGGTATGGCAAATGTCGGCGCCTACCACACTATAGGACAAATGTCGGTGCCTACAACACTGTTTGTGTTCTGACATGTCTGGAAGGCTGTAAAGTACCATTCTGGCATAGCCTGACAGTACTGTCCTGCAGGTGTGCAGGGTACGGTCCTTGGTATTGCGGTTGACTTGAGTGCCTTATCTTATCTGCTCTGCCTGATTTCCTGGGTCCTCACCGAGCGGGCGTCCCCAACCGGTCGTTCCCAGTTGGCTCCGACCGCGCCGGTCGGAGAAGAGCCGTAAGCAGAGGTTCGAGGCCTTTCGGTCGGAGAGGCGGGTCGGAGTCTGAAGCGAGCGCCGTCCCCTCCTTGGCCAGGCCTTCTGGTCGAAGAGGCGGGTCGGGGTCGGAAGCGAGCGTCGTCTCCTCCTTGGCTAGGCCTTTCGGTCGGAGAGACGGGTCGGAGTCGGAAGCGAGCGTCGTCTCCTCCTTGGCCAGGCCTTTCGGTCGGAGACTGGATCGCTCTTCCGGCCTGTCGTTAGGTATCTGGGCCGGCCCAGGAGTTGCGCGTCGTTCGTAATGACGTCTGTTGGGCCGAGCTTTTGCTGGGAAGCGGGCCCATTAGGGACCCCGGGTTTATGAACCCGACAGGAGCCCCCGAGGCTCCGGGCGATTCGGGTAGAATCGTCTGGGGGATTTTTCGTTTTGCCAGCGGGTGCGCACGAGCGCACCCGGTGGGTGTAGCCCCCGAATCCCCGGGTGATTTGGGTAGAATCGTCTGGCGGATTTTTCCTCTTGCCAGCGGGTGTGTGCGAGCGCACCCGGTGGGTGTAGCCCCCGAGCCTGCATCTGATTGGTGAGTCGGTTGGAGGCTAAGTATCTTGGTACTCTTTTCTGGGGCCACCGACTCCTGTGTTTCTGTAAGTATCTTGGTACTCTTTTCTGGGGCCGCCGACTCCTGTGTTTCTGCCGTTTGGGGTGTTCGCCTGTGTTTGTCCCGCCTGCGACCTGCGCGGTCGGTTGGTTTCCCGAGTCGGCGTCGGGCGACCTGAGCCCCTGAGCCCCGTTGGGTTCGGTAGGGGTTGGTCTAGTTCTGTGCGTTACCTCGTCTGTGGTTTCCGCAACCGGAGGGGCTGAGCTAACGTCGCTTGCCTTGATGGCTCGAGTGACGCGCTCGGTGAGCTCACTAACGGGCGCGTTCGAGCGGAATCCGGGTCCGTTGTTCGTAAAGGGGTCGGCATAGCCCTCATGTGGCATTCCACTGCTCCTTAACCCGCCTCCCGGCAGATGCCCGGTTCGTTTCGGAGACCGACTTAGGTGGCCCGCTGGCCTCCTCTCGATGGAGATTCTGTGGGCATGGCTCGAGGTTAGTATCGAACGAGAAGGTCGAGATGACCCTGTCTGCTTCGGAGCATACCGGGCGAGGGTCGCTGGGGCTCATCTGCGTTTTCTCTCCTGGCTCTGTTTGATGCGAGGTGGCCTCGAGCCCTCCGCGGGCCGGCCTTCGAACCCCGGTCGGTCGTTGCTCATGTTGAATGAGGCAACTACCGCTTCGTGACGCAACACGAAGCGTTTGCATATGCGATGCTTTGGATGTATGGGATGAATGAATGATTGTATGAATGAATGTGTGAATGCGTGTATGGGAAAGGATGAATGAATGATCATGCATCAGAAAATAAAGTAAGAAGGTTTGGTAAAGTTACCTTGATGACTCGAGTGATGGGTTTGAGGAGCCCTTATCGGATATGTCCGAATGGGATCCGTATCCGTCGTTCGTGACGGAGTCAATGTAGCCCGCATGGGGCATCCCACTGCCCCTTACCTGTCTCTCGGCAGTCGCCTGAGCCGTCCGATCGACTCAGGTATCCTGTTGGTCTCTCCTCGACGGAGATCCTATCGGTGGGCCCTTCCAAACCCTGCCTGGGAAGCGGAGGGTCGTTTGCTTGCGATTGCGCTTTGTTTCCTGCGCCTGGGTTGTGGTAGTGGTGGGTCCAACCCAGGCCACGTCCCGCTTTAACCGTGTGACGTTTCGTTTGGCAGGGTGCATCCCATCAGTCTGGACGCGTCCCATCACATGCCTATTCGCATTTAAATAGGGGAAGGGAGAGGGTTTTTGTCCCATTCCTTCGCCTTTCTCCATCTGCCGCCTCTCCTCCTTCCTTCTTGCCAAGCGCGTTCGTGCGACGCGGCGGTTTCTGAGAGAGAGGGTAAAGCGAGGGAGAGGAGAACTCACAGATCCGTTCATGAGTCCGGAGCACAATGTCGAACTGGAGGCCATCCAACGTAGATGAGGCGGTGCTGGCCTTTCGCCGAAGGAGGTGGCGCACTGGAGGGCTCCTACGCCAGGGGAAGCCGTTCCGCGTCCTCGGGACGACGAGGTTGTCTCCTTCCTCGCATTCCATGAGCGCGGGCTAGGATATGCCGCGCACTGGTTCTTGCGCGAGCTCCTCAACGAGTGGGGCCTGGAGCTGCAGCACCTCAATCCGACTGGGGTGCTGCACGTTGCCGGCTTCGTCACCGTCTGCGAGGCCTTCCTCGGGATGGAGCCGCACGTGGACCTCTTCCGGCGGATCTTCACTGGGCGAGCCTTGTCGGAGGGGAAGCCGCCCAGGATTGCGCCGATTGGGGGCTTCGCCTTGTAGAAGAAGCCGAGGCCATCGGGCTCCTACCCCGCGTACTCCCCTGCGACTCCAATCGGGGGTGGCATGGGGAGTGATTCTACATCAGGAACCCAGCGGAGGCGCCGTTCCCGCCATTCACCGGAAGAAGGCCGGAGAGGCGGGAGAGCTGGTCGTGGGGGCCCTCCAGCTGGTAGAACAAGCTGGAGGTCATCGAGGCGGAACTCCAGAAGCTGGTGCAGCACGGCCTCGACGGGCTGCGGGTGTTCCACACCTTCCGCCGTCGAGTCACCCCGCTGGCGGAGAGGAGGCGACCGATGTGGAACTACTCCGGCCCGACAGATCCTGACCGCGCGTCGCCGGAGGAGTTGGTGAAAGACGAGGTCTGGAGCCGACTCGACCGGGTGCTGCAGCTGAGAGATAAGGAGTCCCTCGAAGGAAAGCTCGGACCTCTCCATGTCGCGAAGCTGTCCAATCTGGTACGCTCCCCTCTTCTTATTCCGTGACCTTTTTTCTCTTGCTCTCCTTTGTTTTCACTTCGAGTTGTCCGTTTTGTAGGGACAAGCCAGTTACAAATCATGGCCACATCTTCCAAGGGGACCGGAGGGCGCGGCTCGGCTAGCTGCCTTGAAGGAGGCGGCGGTCGCCAAGAAGAAGAAGAAGCTGAGAAGGCTCGGAGGAGGCACGAGAAGGAGATCGCCCGGCGGGTGCGGGCCGGTGAAAACCGGAGCGACGTGGAGGAGCTCGAGTCGGAGGAGCCCACAGAGATGGGTGGCGACGCGAGCACCTCCGAGGATGACGGAGACCGGGGCGTCACTCCAACCTCGGTGGAGCGTCGTGCGCTTGCAGTCGCGTCCGCCGACGGTGAGCGGGTTACGGAGAGGCGCGGCGACGTTCCCGCGTCAAGAAAGCGCGCCGCGAGCTCGGACGCCGCCGTCGAGCGAGAGGCGAAGCGGGCGCGGTCATAGATGGGGTCGACGATGAGCGAGTAGCGACCCGGTCTGGCGACGTGGGAAGGATGGTCCCTCTAATCAAAAGTGATCGGAGATTTTGACCAGCTAAGGAAGGAGGGGACGACCGTTTCGGTGACGCATGCCTCTCTGTAGCGCACTTTGTGCTGGCGCTTGGAGTAGATGGCATTAGATCCACCGAAGATCATGAGGCATTCCTCGGGATCGGGAAAGCCGTCCCCATTCTTGCCCGCCACGCCTCCTCTCTTGGTCGCTGCCTCCTTGCCCTTTCCCTCTTTCGGTCCGTCGGCCTGTCGCAGAAAGCGTTTGAGGAGTTCGCAGTCCTTGTAGAGGTGATTGACGGGGTAGGCGTAGTTGGTGCATGGACTCTCCATGAGCTTGTCGAAGTGGTCGGGCTGGCCCTGCTGGGGCTGCTTGCCCGCGCGATTGGCCGCGGCGACCAAAGCGGAGTTGGCCGCTCGGCGTCGATCCTTCTTGTTCTTTTTGCCCCTTTGCGTGGAGGGGCCCTCGTCTTGGTCCTCGCGCTTGGCCTTGGCCTTGTCCTGGCCTCCACTAAAGACCGCTCCGACCGCCTCGTCACCGGAGGCGTGGTTCGTGGCGTCGTCGAGCATGTCGCGGGTGGTCCAGGGCTTCAGACAGCCGAGCTTGTGGATCAAGGACTCACAGATTGTCCCGGAGAGGAACGCGCTGATGATGTCCGCATCAACGATATCAGGAAGGGAGTTGCATCGTTTTGAGAACCTACGGATGTAATCCCATAGGGACCCGTTGGGCTCTTGCTGGCAGCTCTTGAGGTCCCAGGAATTCCCAGGGTGGACAAACGTCCCCTAGAAATTCCCGATGAAGATCCTCTTGAGATCCGCCCTGTCACAGATGCTGTCAAGTGGGAGGAATTCGAGCCATGCTTGAACATGCTCCCCACGCAGATGGGGAGGTATTGGATGATGAAGTGGTCATCATCCACTCCTCCGGCTCGGCAGGCGAGCCGGAAGTCTTCGAGCCATATACCGGGATTCGTTTTCCCTATGTATTTGGCGATGTTGGTAGATGGTCGGAAACACTGTGGGAACGATGCTTTCTGAATGGGATGACCAAAGGCCCGTGGTCCCGGGCCGTCCGGACTGGGACTCCGGTCGTCTGGTCGGCGACCATGCCTAGGGCGCGTTTCCCCGCTTCCCTCAATGGTCCGGCAGGGGCCCGTGCGCCTGCTCTCACCGCCCCATGATGGAAGTCATCATCACGGCGGGCTTGACGCCGATTGTTGATGACGCTGTGAGTGTCTCGGTTCGGTCCGAGGCGTTCGCGCACAGGTGGTCGATGTGGAGCGGGAGCTGGGTCAGGCCGTGGTGCAGCTGCGGCCTCCTGTTCCGCGTCCGGCGACTGAAGTGAGCGGATGGAGCGATTCGACTGGTGCGCCCCCATTCCTCGGTGGGGACAGAGCCCGCGAGTCGGTATCGCGACGCGGAGCTCTCCGCCTGTTGAACGGCGGCGGTTTCCACCAGCGCCCGGAGGTTCCGGTGGACCGCCTGCTCCTGGGGGTCGACAGGCTCTGGAAGGCCGCGCAGAAGCATCGCCGCAGCGGTTGGCCAGCCCGAGTGAACTGTGGGGTATCGTTCCCCCCGTCCGTGATGTTGCGCTGGACCTGGCTGGCGCGACCCCAGGCGCCGTTCGCCGAGTTACGCACGCGGGTGCAGCAAGCGCGCCGGCGCAGGTGGCGGCTGGCTCTGCCGCCTTTGTCGTAGCTCCTCGCCGTGCTCCTGTGCACGCGCGAGGACCTCCACACGAGGGTCCGGAGGGGTGAGTCTGTAGGGACTCTGCTACCACTGGCGGCTGTCCCGGAGCGTCCGCCATAGCGCACTCCCGGGACAGAGGGTGGCTAGGTGCCACGACGTCGCCGATGCTAGAGCCGTCGCTTTCAACCTTGTCATCCACGAGGTCGTGGAAAGAGGCAGGAGCGTAGCCCGCCATCCCCACGAATTCGGATGTGAGAGGGGCGGCGTCAGCATCTTTCGGAGTCCCCGCGCGTACGCTTCCGCGGGGGACGCGAGGCCGTTGGGGAACCGGTTGCATGGCGGTCGCGATGGGAACAACGGGGTCCCTCCGAAGAGTCGGCGGAAGATATTAAATAGCGAGTAAAGAACAATATGTACGTTACTCACAGTGGGGTTTGAGCCTAGCGTGGGTTCGGAGCAAAGCGCAGGTGTCTCGTCGTTGAGGTCGCCGGTGGCCCGGAGCCGACGGAGGGCGCTCCTCCGATGGGCGCCGGGACAAGTGCCTCCTCGTGAAGGCGAAGCACGCTGAGCTGGTCGGCGACGAAGTCCAGGCTTCCGAAGAGTAAGGTCTGGGATGACTCGAACACAGGAGGAACCCATATCCAAACAGGTGGGAGTGTGGGAAACTCCAATGAGCCGAAGCGAGTCGTATCGCTTGAGCCCATCATGATGAAGATGGCGGAAAGGTGGGCCATCCGATGACCAAGAGCGTGAACGTACGACGTTCTTCCCATGGACGGCGCCAACTGTCGGTGCGAAAAGTGATCAAGAAGTAAATATTTGTCGTTTTGCCGTATGTTGTGATCGGATGTGGCCTAGCACTCAATGACACAAAGTTTATACTGGTTCAGGCAACGTGTCCTACGTTAGTTTGAGTCGGTCGGTGACTTTATTCCTGAGCCCAACTGCTCGAAGTTTGCTGTGGGGTTACAAACGAGTGGGAATAAGATGGGGGGTGCTAGAGGTCCGGTCGAGCTCTGGACCGAAGGGCTGAGAGTGACGGGAGCTCCTACGTGTGCTAAGTTTTGGAACGTATGATCTGTGTAACTTTAGAGTTCTAGAGCCGTGAAGCTGTTCGAGTGCTCAGAACGTCTAAAGCTAGCAGAGAGAGAGTCAGAATGATCCATCTTTTGTTGGGAGAGGGCGCATCTCCTTTTATAGAAGAAGGGGACGGCCTTACAAGTTCAAGAGCGAGAGAGTGTGTGTGTGTGCCCTAATCTTGTTGCCCACGCTGTCGGGTACAAGACAGTTTGTCGGTGGCCACAATACAGTTGACGTCCTGATGCATGTGGCAGGCTCCATTGTGTTCTTCTGGTATGGCAAATGTCGACGCCTACCATACTATAGGACAAATATCGGCGCAACACTGTTTATGTTCTGACATGTCTGGAAGGCTGCAAAGTACCCTTCTGGCATGGCCTGATAGTATTGTCCTGCAGGTGTGCAGGGTACGGTCCTTGGTATTGCGGTTGACTTGAGCGTCTTACCTTATCTGCTCCGCCTGATTTCTTGGGTCCTCACCGAGCGGGTGTCTCCGGCCGGTCGACCGGTCGTTCCCAGTTGGCTCCGACCCCGCCGGTCGGAGAAGAGCCGTAAGCAGAGGTTCGAGACCTTCCGGTCGGAGAGGCGGGTTGGAGTTGGAGGCGAGCGTCGTCCCCTCCTTTGCCAGGTCTTCCGGTCGGAGACTGGATCGCTCTTCCGGCCTATCGTTAGGTATCTGGGCCGGCCTAAGAGTTGTGCGTCGTTCGTAATGCCATCTGTCGGGCCGAGCTTTTGCTGGGAAGCGGGCCCATTAGGGACCTCGGGTTTATGAACCTGACACTTAGTGTTACGTGCCAATATCATTGCTTGCTTACTCAAATAAACAGCTTTAGGTACTGACTAGGCACCACCCTCCTTGGTAGCACCTAATTGCCTCTGAGCTCACCATATGTTTAGAACTCTGAATGGGGAACTGGCCACATAGTGATGGAAACATGGTAAGATATTTATGGTCCTGTTTGACAGAGCTCCCAGATATGATTCTCTGACAAACAGTTTTTCAGAGAGAAGTGATTCTCTAAAATTAACTAAGAGGCTGGGAGCTGAAAAAAGTAACGTCTCCTGATTTTGTGAAGTGATTCTCCTTCGTGATTTTGAGAGTGAATCAAAGAGAATCACTTTCAGTCACAGAATCACTTCTCTCAGAGAACCAGCTTCCATAGAGAATCAAAATCAGATGGAGCTCTACCAAACAGGCCCTATGAAAAGTTGACCCCGAAATCTGCTCAAAAAAATAATTTATTTTTCAGTTTGAAGTGAAGAAAATTGATTTGAGGCTAATTTTGAATTTTGAAGAAACACTATAGTAATATGTGCACATGAAAAGACTAATTTCTAGAATAGCAGTGTAACATGATCAAATTGTATAGTGCACGAAGTCCATCTAAAGTCTTTCTTTCTTTTAGCTTATTGCATTTTAGTGCAACAATTACATGAAACCTTTAATTATTTTTTGTCTCCATTTACATGTAATTAACTATCTATCACACTGAAGATAGTGGATCTCAAGAAACCTTTTGCTTGAATTGTCATAACCAATGTATTGCTTTTGTTTTCCTAACAGAGAATCTTCTATTGGCCCATTGGCAGGTTTTAGACTTTGTTAGGAAGCACATAAATTCAGGCACTCCATTATTAGCTGGGAATTCTGTTTATGTGGATTTACTATTTCTGAAGGTTAGTATGAATAATTGGTAATCTTCTTTTATTTCTACTCAGCACTTTTTTAAGTATAGTGTACCCCCAAGAACTGTGGAAGTATTGCACTTGACTATCAAAACATCTGAGTTCAGTTCCTCTTCTTTTAAAACCTAGATACTTTGCCTGATGCTTTACTTTGGAAATTTTGCTGATATGGAGGTGGTTTTTTTTTTTTTGCCACTAATCAACTTATGGCTCAAATTCACCCAACCAGACTATCCAGGGATTTAAAATGACCTGTGTTATAGAATATGAGGTGGTTAAATGACTGTCCAAGGATGTGCAAAAAATGCTAATTACTACCTTCGGTCATAAATGATCTGTACTTTCTGTTGGAATGTTGTTTGTAGGATTGGATAAAATTACGATATTACAAAATAATTTTTTTGAGAAAAAAAATCATACATCTATATTTCGATTGTCATTATTTTAAAAGATCATTATAGTCAAGGCGCTAAGACTTTGGAAGCTTGACGAAAAATGTCATGTAATCTACTTATCATGACTGAAGGGGGTATGGATCACATTCGCATTATATTTCTCAATAAATAGGATGAATGTTTCCCACTTTTGTGAAAGCATTTTCCATTTGAAATTCGAGAATTCAACCCTTGGTGGCTGACATTTTTGTTTGCTATTTTCCTGCCAGAAGTACATGCCACAGCTTGCAGCCGTCTTCTCTCATGTAATTGTCGATGTGAGCAGTATAATGGCTTTATGCATACGATGGTACCCCAAAGGTAAATTAATAAATCTGGTGGCCATGGATACAAGTACTTTCAGCGTCTGTAGTCAGTACTTGAAATGCCAAGCAGTGGCAACAGTTTATATATTTTAGCATCATTGTCATTTCATTTGTAGCTATTTTGGTTTAATACCAAATCAGAATCCGCAGCTTTGCTTCCAATGTGGGGTGATGAGTAATACTAGCAGAATTCCAGTTTCTGCTAGTATCTAAAATAATCTTACTGGACTTATGATGAGACTGAACTTATTCGTTTGCTGTTGAACTCTTTATACAGAAAGGAAACAAACTCCAATAAAGCAGAAAACCCACAGGGCAATGGATGATATTAAAGAAAGCATCGCCGAACTGAAGTACTATAAGGACAACATTTTCAAACCACAGAAATCAAAGCGGTAGCTGCATGTGGAATAGTTGAATCAACTAATAGCTAACCAGAATTGGAGAGGGATTTTCAGGTCAAAGCCGAATGCCTTGCTTTGGGCTATGTAAGGGGTTACGTTCTGTGCATCAATTAGTGTTTGGGTTTATGGCACTATTACTTCGTGGTATTCTGAAGCCTTCCTGGATGCGTCTCATAGTTGCTGCATCACATGCATACATACTATCGATTACTTTGGAGGGACTGAGAAACCATCCCACCCAAATGATGAACTGGTCCGTCAAGCATCCCATTAGTTTAAGGGGAACGGAGAAGTCTATTTTTGACCATTCAACTATTTTCCGAGTTTGTTTTTGACAATGTAACTCAATAGCCAGAAATCTTTTACTAAATTATCCATACCGGACAAATTTGATCATCTAACTGGTTTCAAATGTGGTTTTGTATTTTTTTTAAAAAAGAATAAAAACTGGATTATTTTTTAAAACAACTCATAAATAGTTCATTTAAAATCTGAAAATATAAACTAGTACCCAAAATATTTCTAAATGTATAATATATTGATTGGTGCTCTATTTGGAGTTAGTGTTTTATTGTTTGAAGTCATGTTCATAATTTATTTAGTTCATTATTTTTTACACTATACTCTCTCCGTCCCTTCATGTCCGTCGCCCAAGCATTTTGCACAGAGACCAATGTTCATGAGACAAGACCTGAACAACCCTATAAAATAGCCCTTCACCAGCCGCAGAGCAATGCCATTAATGCGAAGCTGTGAGAGGGGGAAGGGATAAAGGCTACTGCACGGGTGACAAGCAAGTGCTGTGGTGAGCCAGAACAACCAACATTAAGGGACAGAGGGAGTATATTGTATCTAATATTGACCTTGAGAATCCACAGTAGGCTATGAATAAACAAAAGATCTAGAAAAGGACATCAATCTCCCATGTGCCTTGCTATGCATATAGATCATAGTTGACATTACAGCTAGTATAGCATCCTCCAAAAAGACAAGTGACTCGCTACACAAGATACCGGTTTGTTTCTTCTTCATCGCGTTTTCTTCTTCCTCTATCATGACTCGTGACCGTGGCCGCGCTTGCCTGCCCTTGCGAACTTTGGCCCATCACTGCCGGCCACGTGCGCCCACACCTCGCCGCCCCACCACGCTCATCTTGTGGCCGCCGCTGCCACCCCGGCCCTGACCTAGCGGGCGCCTGCGAGCTCCGGCCCCCATGGCCGGCCACACCCGAGCAGGAGGATGAAGATGATGAAATCATGTCATTCCAACCAAAATGCCCTTGGATCTAAAGCTGTTGTCTAGCTAAACAGTTCTTGATGGATCTTATATCCACTAGTGGAATTGCTCCGTGGTAAATTCTAGGTCCAGAGGTTACTCTTTTTTTAACTTTTTCAGTGGTGGAGCTGTCACGTCCTAAATCAGGCCCCGCCATAGCCAGATCCAACTGTCCATGGGCTCGTCGTTGCTCACTAGACACCACATCAGCCCTTCCTCTTCACTCGGCACCTTAGCGTCGACCAAAACTCCGAGAGAAACCACCACCTGCGCCATTGTAGAGACCTCCACGTAGCAGCACGCGGCCATGGCATGGATGGGTCACGTACTCACGTGAAGGTGGGCGAGGCAATCATGGAGATTAGGGAAGGGTCACCTGAAGTCATAGATACGGACTCCAAAAAATAAGCCAAGCAAGATCATAGAAGATGTGGGGGGATCCAAATTACTCTCCAAGTTTGAGATGTCTCTATATGTCCTCATAAGCTAACATTTAATTCGGTTTACTCAACTATTTCAGTTGGCCTAATTTAACCCACGACAAACTTTGTTTTTTTTATTTCTCTAAGTACAAGTTGGGGTTTAAATTTAAATTTTGTGAGTGATAAAGAACATCTAATTTATGTTAAAAGATACATCACACTTTTTATCATTATTTTAATAATAGAACATATATAATACTTGATTCGTTCTATATACAAAATCATCGACTCAATTTGAAACGGATGGAGTAATAAATTAACACTAGAGATACAAATTATATGAAAATAATGATCAAAATTCATAATTTATTAGGGAGTAAAACTCAACCTGTATGCGAAGAAAATAGAAACAAATCTTGTTGAGGGGTGAACTGAACAGACTGAAAATATTTCGAGGGAGTTAAATCAAACCCAGACCTTTGTTTATATGGCTCTGCTTGCTTCTCTTATAATCAGGTTTTTTTAACTTGTTTTTCCTACCGGAACAGTATTTTTCTCTCACAACAAATCAGCCGGAACAGTGTTTCGGCTTGTTTTTTCAGTGAAGCGAACGAGGCCATAGAACCTAATGAAAAATATTACTATACAAAAAAAGGTTTTTGGCTTAAAAAGAAAGGCAACTGGAGCAACTTTAGTCATTATCCGTCGAACAAATACAGCACACAAATATTATTCAAAGCGCTACAGGATGTCACCAGTCCCTACTCATTGTTGTGTCACCCTGTCGACTGAATGAAAAAAGAAGAAACTATTACATTGCACACCTGAGAAGGCAAGACTACCCCCTACTGTCTAACAACAAAAGGAGCAAGCCCCATCCCTGGATACAGGACCCATACAAGGTAGATGCCAAGTTGCCTACACCTAATACTGCGTACAACGCGAACCTACCAGCGAAATTACACAAGCAGTAGCAGATCGGTTTGAAGACTGGATTGAGAATCGTAGCATCTGCTGAGCTTAATATCAAGAGTCGTCCAGAACCCAAGATGCTCAGTAAATGCCAGGAATGACTCTGTATGGTACTTTGTTGCAGTACATCTTCCAGTACTTTCCGTATCTGCATTTACATACGTAGCTCACATCAGATTATGCATTAGGGACATCGAAGTGCCGAGTTTTGTAGCTAAGTACTATCTCCAATCAAAAATAAATTAAATTGTTGATCTTTTTATGGTCCTTGAGTCCAACTTTGATCACTATTTCCTATTATAATGTAGATGTAGCTAATAATTATATGAAAGCATTTTTCAAGACAAACATGAAAATATGATGTGTGTTTCCACATATATAACCTATTGAAGGTTGGAAGTTCCAAAAGTTTGGCTGGATATTGGTCACAGTGTCTAGTATCTATGACTAGAGGTGGTACCGCAAGAATTATCCTTTTTTGATAGAATGTACAAGGATACTTCAAAAATGAGCATTTAGCAGTTTTAACAGCAGGATCTTGTGCCAATGCTAACTACAAAGAGTATAAATATTCAACTGATTCATTTACTAGTTGTAATACTTACTTCGATGAGCACCGGTCATCATCCCTTTTTGCTCGGTCAAACAATAATATAGTCAGAAAGATCACATAGAAGTATGGTAGGAACTGCAAACACAGAAGGACCAAGTTACGACAATCCTCACTAAACTTGTCATGAATCACAATCAGAATATGGGCAAGCTTACGTGACTGAAAAGAGCTGGAACAGTCCAGAAAAATGCAGATAGAATCTCTGGGACATAGTGGAAGTGACGTGACAAGCCCCACCTGTTAAAATGGAAAATGAAGTTCATGTCAACAGCTCATAAATTTTCTTGAGATAAAAGTGGTTGCACAATTTTCTATGAACCATATAACAATTCTCAAACTCACCATCCAGAAGTCAAGAGAAGACTGGTTTTAGTTTCTCCCTTTGTAGTCTGATAAGAGGCAACAATCTGAAAATTTTCATCAGAACAGTCCAGGTGTGAGAATACAGCCAGTTAATTTGGAATCGATTGTATCTTAAATGTTCCAACCTTAGATGGAGCCTTGCCCCAGACTGAGCATTTCCCATTTGTCCGTCGAAATTCTTGGCGCTGACGGTCACAATCATAGTTTATGTATATGCACAACATTCCAGCTAGAAGAATTGAGAGTGCTAACTGCAGAAGGATTTGCAGAGAACAAATTTTAATCCATTGGGACTAAGCTAGTAAATACGCAGTGGATAGAAAGCAAACAGCAATCAAGGTACTACAGTATACAGACCAAAATACCAAATCATATCAAAAGCAAGGCATTTGGAAAGAACCTGGGGACCCAAATTCACAGGGTGGTTTACAAGGTACATTCCAGGCGAAGTATATATGGATGGAACCCATACCAAGCATCCCCAGCAGATATAGAAACCAGCTGGTGAAAGATCATGTCAGACAAATAATGGCAATAGAACATATAGATATAAAATACGGAGGAGAAAAAAGAGCACTTTGTAAATCAAAAGCTATGTATTTACAAAAACCTATGACGATATTATCATCAAGCTATTTATGAGGGTTTCTTATGACCTACCTGTCTTTTCCTAGAACAATTATGCTATAGAGAAAAGAAATATTTTCATCATAGTAGGGCCTTCGTCTTTGAGTTTGGTTCACACTCCAATGTGATGGGATAAGTCTCTGTGGTCATTGTGGGGCTGCAGCAGTCTTTTATGGTCTTGCTGCCCAGCATCCTTGACTGGAGGATAGCAGCATCTTGACTGGACAGCATCTTAGGACAACATCTTAGAGGCATCTTAGGACAGCATATTAACATCTTAGACTAGCATCTTGGCATATGCTTGGCTGGCTAGCAGCCTATAAATATGTATCCCCAACCACTCAGGTTGGCATGGCATTTGTGTGAGTTTGTGTGAGAAATAAACCAGAAAATTGTCCCAACTCCTAGTGTCATCCTCTCTCGATGAGAGTAAGAATTCTGCTACTACCAAGAGTGAGAATTCAGCGACTAACAACTGGTATCGAGCAGACTATCCTCAGAGTTCGAGCATCTCTCGCTCATCTTCCTTCCCACCCCCAACATTTCAATTTGTTGGCTAAGAAGCAACTCCTCCGCCGCTCCTCGCCACTCCTCTCCCTCTGCCCTCTCCCCACGTAGCAGCCCCCCGTAGCGCGTCATGTCCGTAGGGCAGTCTCAGCGCTCGGTCGCCTCGAGCACGCGGTGTCGGCAGGAGGCCGAACTTGCGCAGGCAGAGGAACGCGAAGCGAAGCGGCGGCAGAGATTACCGCTGGCGGCGGTAAGGGCGCCGCCGGTCGGCAATGGCGGAGCCGGCAGGCCGAGGAGGAGGCGAAGCGGCGGCGGCGTCGCAACGGTAAGCGGCGGCAAAAAGAGAGGTCGAGGCTCGCGGCGGCATCAGCAGCCTGCGTTCGCCGACGACAGCGGCCGACGCGGACCTCGAAGCCATCGGGGAGGAGGGGACGAGAGCGCGGGCGCGTGAAGGCAGCCACACACGCCACGAAGCGCGGCGGCAGCCGTGACAGCGGGCGGACGCGCCGCTGGCGGGCGCTCTGGAGGAGGGCGCGCATGGCGGTGGTGGCGCTCTGTGGCGCTCCGGAGGAGGCGCGATGGCAACGGTGGCGGACGGGTCGATGGAGAGCGCGGCCTTCACAGTGCGGCGTGGCTTTTCTCGGATCGGTACCGACGGGTCGATAGAGAGCGCGCCTTCACACAGCGGCGTGGCTCTCTCTCCCGGATCGATACCGTGGTTACCACGGGCCCAGTCGTTGTCGGGACATCGCCCGGCGGTGGTGGTGGCCTACCCTCACCAAGACCAACTACGCCGAGTGGGGCTGCGGTGATGAGGGTAAAGCTCCAGTGCGGCACATGTGGGAGGCGGTCCCGATGCGGCAACGCCGACTACGACCTAGATCGACGGGCGATGGATGCCCTCATCGCTGCGAGCCCCGCCCGAGATGCGCTTCGCTACCAACAAGCGGATCGCCAAGGAGGCTTGGGACGCCATCGCTGCAGCACGACGCGACAAAGAATCGCTACCGCAAGTCCACACTGCGGGCACTTCACAAGGAGTGGGAGAACACGCCTTCAAGCCGTGTGAGGACGTTGATGACATTGCTCTCCGTCTCAACACTCATTGCGAGAAGATGGTGCGATTCGGCGATGACACCTACGGCGAGGAGAGAGCTATCGAAAAGCTCTTCCGCTGCGGCCCGAGAAGTACAAGCAGATGGCTCGCTCGATCGAGTCTCGCTAGATCTCAACACGATGTCGATCGAGGAGGCAAAAGGTCGCCACAAGGTCGCCGACGGCCGATGAGCCACTGATCTCTCTCGGGGCCCATCACCATTTGGCGGGAAGCTCCTTCTCACCTCGGGAGCAGTGGATTGCCGCCAAGGTGACCGGAAGAAGGGGAGCCTTTCCGCGACAGCAGTGCCGCATGCAGCGTAAGCCGCGCAAGGCGCGCAGAGACGCCTGTGCCGGGAAGCGCGAGGACGTCTGAGGGTGATGCCCGTGAGGCGCTTGTGGCGGCGCCGCCGGCAGCACAAGCCAAGACGAGACGACGCCGCCAGAATCGCGGCGCGCCTTGGCCATTGGGCCAAGGATCGTCGATACCACGACGCTGCTGTGCCCATGTCGCGACAAAGCGAAGGAGGAGCCGGCTCGTTTCATGGCACATGCAAGCATCGAGCTACCTCGCAGACCCGCCGGCGCGGCTTTCCTCCACCTTGACGAGCCAAAAGCACACGCCTCCTCGGCATGGCGGCGGCCCGCAAGAACGACAAGACTAACGGGTGGTGCCTCAACACCGGCGCCACCCATCACATGACCGGTCGACGGAGTTCTTCACCGAGCTTGACTCTAGCGCCCGAGGCTCCGTCAAGTTTGGGGATGCCTTGGCGTGGAGATCAAGGGCGTCGGCCGTCATCTTCATCGCCGTGTCCGGTGAGCACAAAGCTACTCACCGAGTCTACTACATCCCGCGTTGAGGAACTCCATCATCGACTTGGGATGACTAGATGAGAACGGTTCGCAGGGTGGTGGTTGAGGACGGAGTCATGAGGATTTGGGATCGTCGTTGTCTCTTCTTGCCAAGGTATCCAAAAGCACAAATCGACTTCTACGCCCTTAACGTGCAGTGTGGCACAACCCTCCTCTGTCTCGCCGCTCGTCGGGACGATGAGGCGTGGCGCGGCACGAAGCGTTGAGCACCTTCACTTTGAGGCCCCAGGCGGCTCGGTGCCACGGAGATGGTGCGAGGCCTGCCGTGCCTCTCGACCATGTGGGAGCGGCTCCGCGACGGCGTCGCGTGTTGACGGCAGAGGCGACTCCCTTTCCTGTGGGGCGAGAAGCCGAGCCAAGGAGAGGCTCGAGCTTGTGCACGGGGACTTGTGTGGCCCGGTGACACCGCCACCGGGAGGACGACGCTATTTCCCGCCGCTTCGTCGACGACCTCTCCCGCTACATGTGGGTGATGGTCCTCGGCAGCAAGGGGGAGAGCTGTCATGACGCCATCGAGCCCGCCAGCAGTCGCCGCAGAGGCGAGTGTGGCCGCAGAAGCGCTGCAGCGTCGCGTCGCAAGACCGACAACGGCGGGTGGTGAATTCGCGTCGTCATCATACCGACGAGGGCATTCAAGACTACTACTACTCGCGCCCAGACAAATGCCTGCAGCAGCAGAAGCGGCGTCGTCGAGCAGCGCAACCAGACGGTTGTGGGGATGGCTCGGGCCCTCCTCAAGCGAGGGGATGCTGGCTGTCTTCGGGAGAGGCGGTGGTGACGGCCGTCTACATCCTCAACCACTCGCCTACCAAAGGCGCCGACGGCAGCAGGGCCGCCAGACGAGGCTTGGCATGGGCGCAAGCGGCGGTCTCCCACTTGCGGGTCTTCTACCGCCTCGCGTTCGCCAAGGAGCTTGGCCACATCGCAAGCTCGACGATGTGAGCACTCCGGAGTGTTCATCGGCTATGTGGAGGGCTCGAAGGCTCTACCGCATCCTCGACCAAGACACGGCGTGTGCGCAAGCGGCGCGCGACGTTGTGTTCGACGTAAGGCGAGGATGGGGCGGGGGACAAGCGGTGGGCGACGGCTCGACCGACCGCGACGACGACTTCCTTTGTCGAGCACGTCCACTTCGAGGGAGTTGGGGGAGTAGGCGGCTCTTCTTGGCGAGCGCGTCTACCCCAAATTCCCCGAGCCTCCACCGACCCCAGCACCTGCCACTCGACAAAGACCACGCTCTCCGGCTAGGACCTCGGTGCGATGAGTTCTTCACGGGCTCCACCACGGCGGTAACGCAACGCCACGACTCCAAAGACCGACAGCTGGCACCACTCCGCACGCGTCTACTCCACCACCGGCTCATGTCGAGCACGGCCCGGTTGAGCTCGCTACTCCACTCTCTCACGACGAGGAGCACGTCGCCGACGCGCACCACGACGGCGAAGTATTGCGGTACCGTACGATGGAGAACCTTCTCGGCGACACCGGCGGTTGCGGGACCCGTGCCTCACGACACGGAGGCGCAGATTGCACCTTGAATGTGACGACGGCGAGCCTCGGTCGTTTGCAGAGGCCGAGAGACGCGCTGGCATGTATGCGCGCCGCGATGCGATTGATGGATGCGGTTGAGAAGAACCGCACTGGAGCTTGGTCGACCTTCCTCGTGGTCACCGCGCGATCACCCTTAAGTGGGTGTACATGTGAAGAGGGATGAAGCCGATGCCATCGCAAGCACAAGGCTCGCTTGGTGGCACGAGGTTTCGTGCGGCAGGAGAGGGGTCGACTTCGACGACGCCTTTGCTCCGTGGCACGGATGGAGTCCGCGGCGACTCCTCCTTGCGCTTAGCCGCCAGGAGGGTGGCGTGTTCATCACATGGACGTCAAGTCGGTGTTCCTTAACTGGCGACTTGAAGGAGGAGGTCTCACGTGCACCACCACCGGAATTTGCGATCCCCGGCAAGGAGGGCAGGTGCTCACTGCGCAAGGCCCTCATGGAAAACTGCGGCGAACCGAGGGCGTGGAATGCCAAGTCTGGATTCCACGCTAAAGGGATGGGCTTCGAGCAAAGCCCACACGAGGCGCCATCTACCGACGGGCAAAGTGGAGGAAATGCTCTGTTTGGTGGGTGTCTCGTCAACGACTTGGTGATCACCGGCACCAAGGATGCGGAGGTGGCGGCATTCAAGGAAGAGATGAAGGCCACCTTCCAAATGAGTGACTCGGGGCCTCTCCCACCGGGAATCGAGGTGCACCGGGATGACTCCGGATCACGCTCGACTGCATCGCCCACGCCAAGCACGTCGTTGAGCTAGCTGGGCTCACCGATCGCAACCCAGCCTCTCACTCCGATGGAGGAGAGGTCAAGTCGAGCCGCGACAAGACGACGCGGAGGTGGGCGCCACGCAGCGATCTGCGGCGTCTTGTGGGGAGCCTTCGCTACCTCGCCCCACACACGGCCGGACCGGCATTCTCCGTCGGCCACGTTAGTCGGTTCATGCAATGACCGACAACAACGAGCACCAACAGACTATGAAGAGGATCATCCGCCACGTTGCGGGGACTCTCGACCACGGCCTCTACTACCCTAGGTGCCCTGGGGGCGGCACACTGCTTCTGCACAATGACATGACGGCGACCACGCCGACGACATCGACACCTAGCAAGAGCACGAGCGGGATCCTCTTATTCTCGGCAAGTGCCTCGTTAGTCGGGCAATCGGTCAAGCGGCCAGTGGTGGCCTGTCACGGTGCGAGGAGGCCGAGTACATAGCGGCCTCCACCGCTTCGACTCAGCTCTGGCTCGCTCGATCGCTTGGTGATCTCCTTGGCGGGAGACACTAGAGCGGTGGAGCTCTGTGGTGGACAAACAAGTCCGCTCTGGCCCTGGCAAAGAACCCCGTCTTCCATGAACGCAGCAAGTACATCCGGGTGAGATACCACTTCATCCGAGGCTGTTTTGAGGATGGGAGCATCAAGGCGAGCTACATCAACACCAAGGACCAGCTTACGGACCTGCTCACCAAGCCCCTTGGGAGGATCAAGTTCCTTGAGCTCTGCTCCAAGACCGGGATGTTCAACTTTCCCACAAGACGACGACAAGACTTAGGGGAAGAATGATGGGATAAGTCTCTGTGGTCATTGTGGGGTCTGCAGTAGATCTTTTGTGGTCTTGCCGCCTTGACATCCTTGATTGGAGGACAATGAGATCTTGATGGACAAACATCTTAGACAACATCTTAGGACAAACATCTTAAAGGCATCTTAGGACATGACATCTTAGAGGACAAAGATATTAGCATCTTAGACTAGCATCTTGGCATATGCTTATTTGGCTAGCGACCTATAATATGTATCCCCAACCCCTCAGGTTGGCATGGCATTTGTGTGAGTTTGTGTGAGAAATAAACCAGAAAATTACCCCAACTCCTAGTGTCATCCTCTCTCGATGAGAGTAAGAATTCTGCTACTACCAAGAGTGAGAATTCAGCGACTAACACAATGAAATAAGATTCAGGCCCCACAGGCTATTCAAAGGCGACAAGGCAAGCTGGGTGCACCTTATCGCTTGCCTACGCGACAAGGCATAACTAGACCATAGTGTTTTCGTAAATGGCAAACAATTGGTCACCTACAGTTTAACCATCATTCAGACGAAATGGCCAATTGAAGGGGCAAAACAGCCATTTAAAGGGGATAGACAGCCAATTAAACAGAAACAGGGTACCACTGTAGCATTCAAACGGGCTAAACGACCATTTAGGGGAACAGTGCTAGACCCCCAAGGCAAGTTGGGTCAGCCTGGACGCCTAGGCAACACCATTGAAATAGAGTAGGCTACAGGAATATCTAAACTCCTTTCATCACTGTTTTTTTTTTCATTCACCATTTAATGTTTACAATCTGAAGGAGATCAAAATCTTTCTCTGGTAAGGTCAGTTTTGCATCTGCAACTCCTGGTAATTGTAGTAGTTCATAAATATTATGTGCAGTGCTCACACGTTCAATGAAAGTGGACTGGTAATGAAAATTCTGATGAAAAATATGCTCTATTTTATGTGGTTATGCAAAGCTTCTATGTTTTATTACGTAGGAACTGAGCCTAGTTCAGTTGGATGTGGAAAACCAATGTTAGAATTCTTGTTGAGGCAATTTCAGATGCCTATTTCTCTTAACAAAAAAGCTACCTAGTTCCTCCTAGGTTGTTTTTTAGTTAACTTTGATGTTCTTTTTTTTCTGTTTGTCCTAGACCTAGAGTATATTAAATTGTTATTTCAATGCAAATGGTGATAGAAGAGCAACATATCTTGCCGTTTTGTGACAACAGTGGAGCAATTACATCATGTGAGCACTTCCACACATGACGATAGCACTTTTCAAATGAAATATTTATTTCACTTGATTTTAAAAAACCAAAACTTCTCAAAGTGAAACAAATTGAACATTACATAAAAAGCAAAGCTAGTGGAGAAAATAATCATCTGAATTCCATAGTACTGTAATAGAGCTGTAATACCTCTATCATGAGCAATGTCCATAGTACACCAATATCCAGATTCCCACCAAAAGAACTTAGTGATATAGATCAACATAAGTGCAGTATTCACAAGCATAGAATCAGCAACTCTGCCATTCATTTCATACTGCACAGCAAGTGTCCAAGGAATCAACTGTAAGTCCAAGGGATAACTGCCTCATATGATGGACTTTCCATCTTTAAATTGGCATGGTAATACAACACCACCACATCAATGAGTAACAATACCAAAAATTGTGAAACTAACATAAGAGAAGATATTATAATATTCTGACCTGCTTTATGCAGTACGTTACAGCAAGAACAGCCCAGGACATCATACCGAAACGACAGTTTGTGAAGACTTTGATATCAAAGTACTTGCCAATCCGAGGGTACAGCTCCATACCCTGGAAAACTGAGTGTTATAAGAATGGACCAACAAAGAAGCACGTACTTTGTTATCAATGTCAAATACAGTGTATATTTAACAACGCTTACCCAGTAGAAGTCAATTATCACATTCCCTGAGGATCCAGAGTCAGATGAAGATGGAGCTACATGACCCTAGAAAGGAAAAGAAAATGTTGATGAGATGAAACATAGTAGCTAATGAAAAAAGGAAGCAAAGCTGTTTTTTAACATAGCTCACCTTTATGTAGAGAAAAATACAGAACACAAAGCTTCCAAAAACAAGAGCAGAGTATATCTCCCCCAAGTGATCATACACTATTGCAGGGTTAAATATACCGAACCTGACACAGAACTTTCTTTGTGTTAGCCGGTTTACTTGTGGACAAATGACACATCGGCAGACACAATTTAAGAGGGTCAACACCCCAATTTGGAAAGGAAATTGGAGGGATAAAGCAAACTCGATTAGCTCCTATGCTTATAATAACAAAAAGATACATAGAAATGCAAGCGGAACTGAGAATATCAAAAGATAGAAAAACTACAAGCACACATACAAGGATTATCAGTTTGATGACCACAAGGTCAAAGGTTCCAGAACCTTATTTTGCTCTATTTACAAGATGGATGAATAGTGAAGATGTGTGATGGAGTGCTGATAGCAGGTAAATCATATGATGCCAACATTTATTCATTTCATGCATGCCCATCAACATCTCTTGAAAGGGGAGCAATGGAACCAAGTTAAAATTACATGAACAGAAGGTTGACCAAAGAAAAAGGATAGCCTTACCACCACAAACCGAGGTAAGTTATCAAGGTCACTGCATATGCTTGTAAGCCATTTGCCTGACAACAAAGAAGAGGACAAAATTTAAACAAAATGCAGGCTATAAGGCAAAAGGTAGTAGTACTAAACGCTTGCCCTAATTTGAACAGCAAAACCAATGAACCACACAATAACATTGAGCATAACAATAAATAACAATATCAGTTAAACATGCTAGGGCACCGGGACAGCAGGTAATCAGGTAATAGTTGCCTAATGTTGTTGCATTTAGTAGTAATTAAGATAACAAAGCAAGAATATAAGGTACAACAGACACGAATTGGACAATATTGAACAGTACGATTTCAGAGAAGGGACGAAGTTCACACAAGTTGGACACCAGGAGTGACAGCACGGACCTTGTAGACCGGCACGTTCCCGGCAGGCGAGATGGGCCCTTCGAAGCGCTTCCCAGGGAGCAGCAGCTGCAGGACGGCCTCGAAGAGTCCGAAGCCGAAGATGATCTTCCATGCGACGAGGGTGGGCATGGGCCAGATGGCCTTGAGCCCCTCGAGCACGCCGTGCTCCCTGAGGTGCTCGTAAGTCCGCAACACCGATCCATCCGCGTGCACCATCGTGTACCACCTGCGCGGCGCCGAGAAAATCAATCACAACAGTAATAAACAGCCGAACAGCCGAATTCGTCCTCCCCCTCTAGAGAAATTGCTAGGGAGCGACGAGACGAGACGAGACGAGACTCGGGGGTTGATCCGAGCGGCGGGTCAGGAATGCGGGTGCGATTGGAAGGAGCAGGGAGGGGGGAGAGAGAGGAGGGAGGCGCACTCACAGGAGGATGACGAAGGGCGGGCAGAGGGAGAGGAGCGCGAGCATGGAGGTGTAGGTGACCAGCGCCGAGTGCACTGTGGCCGGCGGCGCAGGCGCGGCGGCAGCCGCGGTCGACTTGGCGCCGGCGGAGGAAGGCTTGGTGTTCGCCATGGCCTCCTCGTCGCGATCTCGCTGGGGCCGCGGTGTGTGACTGTGTAAGATGGAAGGAGAGAGGGGAGGCGACTTGACTGGGAAAAAATCTTTGGAAGGAGTGGCGGGGTGGGTGCTCTGCTCCCGATCCCGATCTGAGGCGCATGCTCACGTGCGCCAGCGGGGAGGAGTGTTTGGCATTTTCACCCATCACGAGAAATAAGAAATAGGTTTCGTAGTTTTATTATCTTTCAAAATGGTTTCGTAATTTTGTCATTATAAAATTAATGTAACCTGTTGAAATATATTTTGGGTAGTTTTAATTTGTGAAAAAAAAGAAGACATCTCCTTCCATTCCTACCCCTGGCTGTTGTTACTTTCATTAGAACGGATCCAACACAAAATGGATCGGCCCTCTCCTCCATCCCCAGCGCTGGCCTTCCCCACGGCGCTCCCTCCCCGTGTCGGTGTCGGTGCTGACCTTCCCCACGCCCCCCTCCCCTGCCGGCACCGCCCTGCCACCACGCCGCACCAGGTGTCTCATCCCGCCTCCGCTCGACCATCCAGGTGCCGCCTCCTGCCTCCTCCTGGTCATCCAAGCGTTGTCGCCTCCTCAGGCCATCCAAGCGCCGCCTCCGCCCTAGGCCAGCCTCAGCTCCGCCCTAGGCCGTGGGCTAGGCCTGCGCCCAGGTTGCCGCGCCAGGCCGACGCGTCCCCAGCCAACGCGTCCCCTAAGCTGGCGCCGCCCCCATGGATTACAGTTGGAGTGATCTAATTCCTCGGTATGCACTCTCTCTCTTGTATTTGTAGTCCACGAACGTAGTTCGAAATGCTGATAGAGTTGTTCGAATAGAAATTTAACTATATTTCTTGCATTCGCTTTATTCAGGCTCGATGTGGAGCCTGAGCTTAGATTAGATTCTATAGCAGACACTTGTGATGTTGGTCACAATGCAAAGGCTGTAGACCATGGATGTGGTGATGTTAGTGGCAATGCATTGGCTGTAGAATATTATGGAGGTGTTGAATGGGACAACATGCAGATTGCTGACACAAATGATGAAGAGGGTGAGGGCAGGCAAGAAAAATTGATGAGGATCAATTATTTTGTCTATTAGGTTTGAGAACCGAGGATGATGAACATCGATCTCAAGAGCAGCAGGCTTCTATAGAGATGGAAAACGGGCCTAAAAATATGAATGCCACTATTGAGGAGAAGATTGACACAGCTGGGGATGCCATTCCTGTTGACGATCATGTGCCAGGGGAGAGAATCTTAGTCTATGACCCAAACAATCCTTATATGGACATTGGTACTGTGTACCCTAACATTAAAGAATTCAGATGGGCTATAAGGCAGTTTGCAATAATTGAGGAATTCAAGCTGCACATAGTGAAATCTGAACCACAACGGTACATTGGGGATTGCAATGCAGAAGGGTGCCCGTGGCATATTGTTGGAAGGAGGCAACCTGATGGGGCAACCATTAAGGTGTTTAACTAGTGGCTAACATTTTTCTACATTTTTTTTTGTTGCTAGTCAATATCTAATTCATTGGTATTTTGCAGGTCACATGTTTGATTTCTCGGCATACATGCTTTGCTAGTGCAAGGAGGAAGAAACTAGTTACAAGTGCAAACTTAATGGGACTAAGAAACCACCAAAAAGGAAGGCTAGGCTGAATACAACTAAGTATGGCCAAAATGCTAAGGTCCCTACAAAGAGGGCAAAAAAACATATTTCTGGGGAGCCTGACAATGAATGTGGCCAAGTCCCACCAGAACAAGGGAAACACTGCTGCAGGATAGTCCTAATAGGTTGACACGAAGGTATAAGTGTCCAATATTTTGTTATTCATTCATATGTCCAATATTCTGTTTCATTAATTCTCCTCCTTTTTTTCAAATGTCAGACAACTTTCGCTTCTGATGGAGGAAGAAACAAGTCCTCAGCCAATGCACAGTCTGATGGGAGAAGACACAAGTACTCCCAGCAAGATCCAAGGAAAAACAACGAAGAAGACAATTACAAAGGAGCTGATGCCAAGGAAGAAACAAGTCCTCAGGAGTCTGTTGCCCTAATGTCACCCAGGAGTCTGTTGCCATTTACCAGCGTCGCTAGGGCATCGAGTACTAAGGGAGCTAAACCTCCAAAAGAAAAATAAAGTTGGATGCATGCTTCTGTTTGCAGCTAAATCTGTTAGGGTCATCGTAAACTTTGATTTCACCTTTGAAACTTTTGTCGTCTTGTGGAACTGAAGTATGTGGTATTGTACTTGGCAATGTATATTTCTGGAGCATAAGGTGCTGGAAATGTATCCAGAATTTGCATCTATGAACCTCCAGAAGAAAAATAAAGTTGACTGCTTGTTCTGTTTGCCAAAAGATGCAAAAGTGTGGCTGCTGTTGTATAGGTGCCTTTTCTACAATATGTGTAAACACTTTGGTATTCCTATGCTGTCAAGGTCTGTTAGGCCTACTTCCTGGTACTCCTGTTGAAACCTCACTTATTGATGCTCATGCTGGCGGAGTTGGAGTTATGGAAAGCATTCCAGATTGAGTCATGGAAAGCATTCCAGTTTGTAAGGGATATAGGAACTGTAAACTTTGTCATAAACTAGAATCACGTGACCACTTGTTCTTCAAATGCCCCATAGCTCAGGTGACCTGGACTTGGATCAGAATCAGCATGGGATGGAGAGAGAACCCAATGTCATTGAGATCTTTTGAGATGTTGGGGTCAGAAAGAGGAAGTCAGAACTGGTGGAAGCTAATAGTCTTAGCAAGTGTTACTAGGGGTGTGTGGAAAACAAGAAATGTCTAGGTCTCAGTGGAGGTAGTGGACTGAACTTTGTAGCTGGTTACACAGTGGACTGAACTTTGTAGCTGGTTACACAGTGGACTGAACTTTGTAGCTGGTTACACCAGCAAACTTAGCTCATGGTCTGTAAAGTATAGGAAAGCATTCCAGATGACACAGTATTCATCCACAAATGGCAATAATAGCTCATGGTCTATAAAGTATAGGAAAGCATTCCAGATGCAGTTCCTAGATCCCTGCACAGCACACATGACACAGTATATGATACAAGTCACTAATACTTCCATTCATTTATTTCAGCACACAAGTTCTACAAGTACAGAAAGCACACTCATCACTCACTCTTAACAATTCCATACAAATTGGTCACTAGTACAAGTGCACAAACTAATATCAAGCATTTCAGCAAGAACACAATCTCTCTAGCTATTCCTGTCAGGTCCTTGAACTGCTCTAGTTGTCCACCATCTCCCTTGGTCTGTTCTTCTGGTTGTGGCATCTTAGTGCTCTAAAAAATAGGCTGATAAGAGGGTGGCACATGCTTGTTATCAACCAGCCATTGCTCATAGTCCTCCTACCACTTCCAAAAGTCACATCCACCACTATCCATCTGTCACCAACACAAAGAAATTTCAATTGACTGAACAATACAACACATGAATTACAAACAAAATGGAACAAATCATAGAACCGTTTGAGTTGAACAGATGTAGAACATGCGCCCATAGTTCTTCTCTATCTTTGCCATCAATGCCTTGACAATGCGGCATTTGCATTTATCGCAGTGGACAAGAGGGAGAATGACTCTACTCCCAGCCCTCTAGATGCGCCGAAGTGGAGCGGTGCTGGCTGGCGCCTGTAGTGGAGGGGGAGGCATGGGGGCGAGCCTGCACCAGCAGGGGAGGAGAAGGCGTGGGGGCGGGCCTATGCCAGCAAGGGAGGAGGCGGCATGGGGGAAGGCCAGCAATGGCATGGGAGGGGAGCGGCGTGGTGGCAGGGCGGTGCTGGCAGGGGAGGGGGCAGCGTGGGGGAAGGCCAGCGTCTACACGGGAGGGGAGCGGCGTGGTGGCAGGGCGGTGCTGGCAGGGGAGGGGCGGCGTGGGGAAGGCCAGCGCTAGGGATGGAGGAGAAGGCTGATCCGTTTTGTGTTGGATCCATTCTAATGAAAGTAACAGCAGCCAGAGGTAGGAATGGAAGGAGGCGTCTTCTTTTTTCACGAATTAAAACTACCCAAAATGTATTTCAGCGGGTTGCATCTGTTCCATAATGGTAAAATTGTGAAACCACTTTGAGGGATGGTAAAACTACGAAACCCGTTTCTGATGATGGGTGAAATGCCAAAGTCTCAGCGGGGAGCGGCTCGGGCTGGGGCCGCGCCACGCGAGACGGCGAGAGCATTGGCAGACATGGTTTTTATGCGAGAACCATGCGCACATGGCACGTAGCATGTGGCACGTGATGCATGTCTTATGTACAAGTAACAACTAGGGATCGTAGTCTGCCCAACTGTACAAGCTTATCCAATGTCTTATTTGTCTCTCTTCTTAATTTCGACAATGATATAGTTAAGACGTCTGGATGGACGAATGCCCTGTCCACTCATTTTTCACACCTGCTCATTCCTCCCGCCCTCTTCCCCCACCACGGCATCTCTGCACCTGCCGCACCCACGCCGCAATGCTCCTCTACCGAGCCACGCCCCCGCCCCCATGCATGTCGCATGAGCCTCTCCCCGCTGCTTCCCTCTTCGTCCTCCTACTCTGGCACAACGGCGGACCCGGCTCGAGCATGAGCTCTGATCCACGTGGCCACCCCCGACGACCCCCTTCCTCTTCTCCGGCTGGCCATCCCCGGCCTCAACTTCGGTACGGTGATAGGGTGCGAGCCCCGCGGTGGCCCCAACGCGGGCGCGCGGCCCTGCTCTGGCATGGGTCAACGCATAGCTCCAGCACGTGCGCGCGGCGTTGCCTCGGTCCACACCTTCCACCCGCTCCCCATCCCAGATCTCGCCCTCCGATCCGGCCACGACCATGGTGGGTTCGACTCTCCTCCTATCGGGGGCAGCAGCTATGGATCAGAGCCAGTGGGCGGTGGAGTTGTACCCGCCATTCATTTGAGCAGATGTTACGCTTGAAAATGCATGTTGCAAGCGTTTGTTTCAAGTGTTTCAGATATTTCACATGCATGTTGCAATTGTTTC